AATTGCCTAACAGAAGAAGAAGAAGAAGAAAGGGGCAGCTAGGTGGCACAGTGGGTAGAGCAGCGGCCCTGGAGTCAGGAGGACCTGAATTCAAATGCGGCCTCAGACCAAACACTTGACACTACCCCAATTGCCTAAAAAAAGAAGAAGAGGAGGAAAGGGGCAGCTAGGTGGCGCAGTGGGTAGAGCAGCGGCCCTGAAGTCAGGAGGACCTGAGTTCAAATCCGGCCTCAGACACAGAACACTCACTAGCTGCATGACCCTGGGCAAGTCACTTAACCCCAAATGCCTCACCAAAAAAAAAAAAGAAGAAAGAAAGGCAGAAGTCTGTTTTTTGCCTTGGTCCTGATGGCCGAGAGGTGGTGCTGCTCATTCCCCATCACAAAACGGCTGTAGTCCTTGACTGTCTGGCTATTCTACAAAGAGAACAGCTCAGGAGAGAGAGGCACATGGTGGTACAAGTGGGCTGCAGTGTATTACAGTAGATAGAAGGCGTGTGTATCAGAGCCCCCTCAAGGAGGCCTGTAGTCAGAAAGGAGCTGGTCTTTCTTAAAATGAGGCTTTGTTTTAGAGCACCGCTGGTGCTCTGGTGTCCAGAGAGTGTCAGCTGAGCCCAACAAAGGCCACCAGTCTGGTGAATAGATGCTTTCTGGAGGTGTGTGTGAGCATGTGGACAAGATCCCGAGGCTGAGACGGCGTATCTGAGGAAGGAAAGATTTAGCTGGAGGTATCAGAGACAGACGTCTTCATCGGGGATGTTGTATTTGAGCTGAGTCTAGTTAAATGAAAGGATCACAGGTCGAGAGATGGAGGGGACCTTCAGGATCATCTCCGCTGTGTTTGACAGATGGGGAGACTGAGGACCAGATTTCAGTTGTCACTGTGCCCTCCACGTGCTTATCTCATTCTGAGCCTCAGAGCCAGCTACCTCGTAAGGGCCACACAGAGATTCTCCATCTGTGAATTAGAGAACTGAGCTTCAGAAAGGTGAAGGTGTTTGCCCGTGATCTTGTAGCTAGCAAGCAACAGATGCTTGTCCCTTCTGTCTCTGAGTAGGCCAGACTTTGTGGCTAGGGCCATGGGGTTCCCATCTCAAGTGGCCGTGTAAAAGCCTCCCCTTAGGAAGAAGAGGCATTAATGACTCTGCTATGAAGAGAGATGTGGTGTGGGGAGAGGTGCCCTGTACTCTTGTTTGGAGTCATGGCTCTCATCCTTAACAGCGGTATGACCCTGGGCAAATCACTGAACCTCTGGGACCCTCTGCTTCCACACGAGGGAGTTCATTCATAGGAGCTGAAAGAGACCCTGGACTGGCTTATAGCGAAGGACCTTTCTGATTCTAAATCAAATAAACAACCACAGGCTCGACAGCATGAAGAGACCAGAGACCACCTGGTTCTCCCCTTCCCTGAACACACCCTTCTCCAGCTCCCCTGACAAGGGGTCATTGTGCAGCCTTGGCTTAAAGGTCCCCCGGGAGGAGGAGCCTCCACTGCCCGCTGGGGCAGCCTCCTCCCCTCTGGGATGGCTCCGTTGGTGAGGAGTTGGGTTCTGAGCCTCCGTCTGCCTCTCTGTGACCAGGGGCCAAGCAGAACAAATCTGGTCCCTCTCCATTGACCAAGAGCATGTCCATCCTAGCTCATTGTTCCTGGGCCAGGGATCGTGAGACTGTGACCCTTGGTGAGCTGAGAGAGGGATTTTTATGGTGTGTGGCTGTAGTTTCCCGAGTTCACCTTCATATGGCTGAATCTTGAGGCGCTTCAGCACCCCGGATTCCCTCCTCTTGATTGTTGGTGCCTTTCCCAAAAGATGGAACCTAGAAAACATTCTCGGCTGAGGTCTGAATAGGGTAAAGTCCAGCGGGACTCTCATCTCCGTAGTCCACTAGTGGTAGGCTCTCTTCCCATTCCCGTGGGTTCATGGGTTTGTATCATCACAAACCCTATCTATTTTTACAGCCTTGTATCTCCCAGCTCTCCCACGCTATAATCCCACATCGTCAACTGCTTATCAGACATCTCGGATTGGATCTCCCATAGGTGTCCCAAACCCAACGTGTCCAAAGCCCTACCCCCTCCTCTTTCAGACTTCCCAAGGACCTTCAAGGAGACTTCACCCCATATACCCAAGCACTTGCTAGATCTCACCATTTCCCCTCTCCCAGCCTCTCTTTGTCTGTGTCTCCTTATCTCCACTCACCCTGGCTCAGGCCCTCACCACATCAAGCCTAGACTGTTTCAGTAGCCTTCCGGCTGGTCTCTCCACCCGAGACCTGTCCCCTTTCCAACCCATCCTCCGCTCTGCGTCATCTGAAGCCAGTCTGACCTTGCCTTCTCCCACTTCTCCTTAACCCCACTCACTACAGTCCTTTTACTCCTACTATGAGATGATGGATGGGAAGCACTTGGCAAACTTACAGCTTGGTAGAATTACTAGCTCTTATTATTGTTATTACTACAGGGTCACGTAGAAAATTTTTCGTAATCTGGCCCCTTCCAAGCTTTCTTCTGACGGTTTGCTCCCCTCTGGGATCCAGCAATCCTAGCTTCGTGTGCCAGCCTCCAGCCTTTACACCAGCCCTCCCCCGGCCTCCTTCAGGACAGAGCCCAAATGCTGCCTTCTGCAGGAAGTCTTTCTTGGGCCTCCCCTCTCCTCGGGTGTGCCTTGGATGCTCCTGGCTTGTTTTGTGTGCTCTCCCCCATTACACGGGAGCTCTGTCGCGTCTGGCCGATGGATTACCTCCAGGGTTTCCTGTGTGTTCACAGTGGTGGCTTCTGACTGGTGCCCTGCCTCCTCATCAAAATTATGTTGCTTTTTTGTCCCTAAGAGTTTTCCATCCTGCCTGCCTTGATCTCCTTTCCCTGTAGAATTTTCATCTGTGCGATTGTTGATTGTCCCTCTGCTTCCTCTGAGTCCTTGAGATGACTTAGCTCTGCCCAAACCAGTGGGGCTGTGTGTCCAATGCTGCCTGACATCCCTGTGTCACAGGTTGTGAGAGAGAAGGACCTTTCCTTCCCCAAGGTTCTCTTCGTTTCTACTTCAGCCACCAGGCCGTCCCCTTCCCTTATTTGTTACTGGCCTCCTTGGGAGCTGGAGCTAATGTCTTTGCACTGGACAGCCTGCCATAGCGTGAACAACTGTCGCATTAAAATGCTGACCGTTTTTAGGAATTTAAGTTAAAAAAGTCTCAAAGGACTTAGGTACTCGTTTATGGACTTAGATATCCCGTTTGTCGTGGGAAAAGATACCAGAGTGTGGGAGGGTATTATGGTTATTGTGACTAGGAGTCCTGCCTGAGCCGCTCCCTCTCAGTTGTGTGACCTTGAGCACGCGCCTTCCCTCTCTGGGGCTCAGCTTCCTTCTCTGTAAAGTAGGTCAGCATTTTGAGGTACCTACTATGTGCCAGCACTGGACTATGTGCTGGGGATACAAAGGAACATAAAATATGGTCCCTGCTCTCAAGGTGTTCACAGTCTAGCGGAGGAGACATAAGAACAGCTTTCTACAAACAAGATACAGAAAGAAGGCCCCAGAATTACAAGGAATTGGGAAGGGCTTCCAGTAAAAGGTGGAGTTTTAGGTAGGACTTAAAGGAAGCAAGGATAGGGAGACGAGGAGAGAACATTCCAGGAATAGAGTTGGGAGACAGAGTGTCTTGTAGGAGGAACAGTAAGGTGGCCAGTGTCACTGGGTACGTGAAAGAGGGGATAATGTGTAAGAAGACTGGGGAGGTAACTGGACGGGGTGGGCAGGTTATGAAGAGCCAACAGAATTTTATATTTGGTCCTGGGGGTGATAGGGAACTCCCTAGGATAGACTGGGATGGGAAGAGACATGAGGCAGACAGATCCCCAGCAGGCTGTTGCAGTAGTCCAGGTGTGCACCAGCTGGGGACAGTGTCAGAGGAGAGGAGGGGGCATGTGAGAGAGATGCTGCAAAGGTGACATCAGCATGCCTTGGCACCATGTTGGATATGGGGGGTGAGAGGGTGAGGAGACCAGAATGCCTCCTACATGTTGTGAGCCTGGGAGACAGGGAAGATGGCGGCCCCATCTACAGTAATTGGGAAGGTGGCTGGGGGATAAAAGCAGTAAGGCCAGTTTTGTATGTGTTGAGTTTGCTAAGGGATCTCCAGTTCCACATGCCAAGAGGCAGTTGCAGATGCTAGCCTGGAGAGGTTAAACCTGCTCGCTCTTTTCTCTCCTCACAGATGAGATGTCCAAGGGGCTTGGCCGCCTCAAGGACATCGCCTTGGGAATGCAGACTGAAATAGAAGAACAAGATGACATTCTTAACCGGCTCACAACCAAAGTCGACAAGCTAGACATAAATATCAAAAGCACAGACAAAAAAGTCCGGCAGCTTTAGAGACAAATGAGGTTTTCTGTTCATCTGCCACGGAACGATTTGAGAAATTCTTTCCTTCCCAAGACGTTTTCCAAAACGTTTGGGAGAATTCCATTTCACTACTTTAGTAGGTTACTGATTAAGACATGTCTGCAAGAGGTACAACAGCATGAGTCTTCTGAAAGGTTATTTAGCCGGGATGGACAGAAGGGAGGGCAGCACTGAGTGACCAATGCCCCGGATGCCTTGCTGGAATGAGAAGAAAGTAACTTTAGTTCTCAGCTTAGTGAAAAGACATAATCATCCTAGGAAACACGGAGAGCTTCTCACATTGCTGTTTGTCAAAACGGAGGGCCTGCTGTGCTCTCCACCCAGAGGCGTCAGACCTGAGTGGGGTCCCAGGCCCCTTTTGTTGTCCCCCTTCTTGTTGGAGACAGATTCGCTTCCCCACCTGGACGTTCCATCTGACAGCATTATCCTGCAGAGATTGAGGTCCTGAATGGGAGCCCCTCCCCTCCTGTGCTTAGCTGACCTGTCCTCTCTGCTCCTCCTCGTTGGTCCTTCCTCCCGGCCACTGTGGTTGTGAAGGCCATGTGCCTTCTTCCTCGATGCCAGCGACTTTGCCAGTTGAACCATTCTTTCATATCCCCTGGAAGTCTTCAATGACTGCCTGTCCAGAATTAGGAGCAGACTATCCCTCTGTGCCCGGGACTGACTGGCTGAGGAGTGCTTAGGGCCCTCAAAGAGTGTGTGTGCCGTCTGCAGGCTTTTCCTTTCCCAAGAACTGGACAAAAAACTCTCTTTGTACCATCTTATCCCCCCGCCCCTGCACACTAGCAGTGCTCTGACTAATCCCCTCTTTTCAATCTCAATTCATGCAAGTCAGTCTATAACAAAAAGAGGATTTGAAAAAATATGATTTGACTCTGGCAGGAAAGAGGCAGACAGATCTTGTCACCAGATTCTCAGCTTCAACTAGACATTGTCTGTTCCCCGTTTAATGGGTCACACTCCACCACAGTCCTTGTTTCGGGTAAGAATGTCTGCACCAAGACTAGGAGAATCCAGGAAGAAATCCAAGGTGCCCCCAGGCCAAATTAGGCCTGGGGCCACACTGTTGAGGCAGAGAAGTATGCCTATTAGTAATTAGTATGTCAGTAATAGTTATGCTTGTTAGTAAGGATAGACCTGCTGGGTTGGAGCTGGCCCTTTTCTTATTGAGTCTCTGTTTCTTACAGTCAGTTCCTTGGTAACTTTGCCATCTTAGGCAAGGAACTGTCTCTCTGTTTCTGTCTGTCCCCCTGCCACCTATCTAGACATAGAGCGCTTGGGTGTGTATGTCTCTCTCTCTATATCTAGATCTTTATCTATAACGAGACGCAGAGGCACCTACCCAATGCCGAACGACACCAGCCACGTGCACTGGATGCCTTCAAAGAATTGTGGATCCAGTTGTTCTAATAGGCCTGATGTGAACTCGGTTCGCTTTTTGAGCATTAAGGGAAAGTGATTTCTTAAATAAAAGACACTCAGCTGGGTGAGCACCTGCTTTGTTCCAGGGTAAAACCAAGCAGGAAGTCCATTTTTAAAGCGACTTATTTCTTAGAAGCCTTTTTCAGAGGATGAAAGTCAGCTCTCATTATGAGAAAAGAGCAAGAGGATTTCTTCTGCCCCTGGTGCCTATTCCATCTTCACATGCTCCGTGCCTTTGATCTTTGCAGCCTTCAGAGATAGGCCCAGCAGAGAGCTCTTGGGAGCACCTCTGGTGCAGCAGATCTTGAGTTTTCTCACCAGTGGTCGTGACTGTCTGGAGAGCTGCCATTTCCTGAAGCTGCTCAGGGCCTGGTTGCAGCCTCCTGATGATGACTGAAGGGAGAAGCCAAGTGAGAAGGGAGTTAAGTCACAGAAGTGAGATTGCCTATTGCTTTGCTCCAGACTTCTAGTAAGAAAGCGCACCCTCCCGTTAGCACGCTCACTGGTGGGTCCAGCCGGACCAAGAGGGCCGAGCTTTGGGGGCAAAGATTCTAAGACTGCACTCAGACCTGAGTTCAGCTCCCTTCTCCTGGGGTTTTTACCAATGCCTTTCTTGACCTTCCTCCACCTCACCTGATTCTGTCTGCTGGTTTTTTGTAATGAAAGGGAGAGGTCATTACATCTTGGGCTTGGAAAAGTAATTTTGAAGGCAGCTAGTCACTCCTGTCTGTCAAGGAACAAAGTGCTAATAAGCTAACGTAGATCATTAAACACAGCCGGTTCCAAGTAGACAGCCTAACCCCTGCTGAAGAGTCCTTGAGAAGCTGGACACCTCCTGGGACAGACTTTCCAGGTGATCACTCGTGAAGCTGCCCATTGTGTCTGCTTGATAACCAGCTGTAGCCAAAGGCAGGTACAGCCAAAGCACATCCCTGGTGCCAGATGTCGCCTAACTTGGAAAGAAGCACAGAGGAGGCTCCTGTGAGGCTTCATCGTCTTTTTACCTGCGCACTTTGATGGAAATGCATCTATAAATGCTTCTCCTGATCTCTCCAACAAAGGTTGAGAGCTTTGGCTGTGTCTGGGTCTCAGGATCATACCCTGTGTGAGGGCGTAGGGGAAGAACATGGGTGCTGACTGTGGGACCCAACCACAGGTGTGTTCCTTGTAAGACCTCAGGCAGCTTAGAACACAGCCAGACAGAAGGAATTTTCCAGAGTTATGCAGGAACACAGACATCAAGGCAAAATCACCTTGGCAAACAGCTTCCCCAAGCTTCATTGCTCAGCCACACGCAAGGCTCCTCTGGATTTCTTACCCTCCCTTCTCCCAGAAGACAAAGGCTAACCTACCACAACCCAAGGGTGTCAGGCTATGTTTGCTTCTATCTCCTGCCATCCTGCCTGAGTTCAATTGCTGTGCCTCCTTGATTGTGCCGAGAGATTGTTGAACATGGTTTCTCACCTGAGTTAGGGCCCCTCCACAAAAGTTACAAATGCAACTCCAGCCTGAAGGGAACCTAATGTCCATAACTGGGCTGGAAACAAATTGCCTTTCCAGAAGTGGCTTATCTTCTAGAGCAGAGTTGCTGCAAACTTTCCTATTCTTGGATTGGGTTTGAAATATGCTGCGCAACTAACTGTTATTGATACTTCTCTTGAAAAAAAGACTGCTTTTAACACCCAGCCAGTACAAATGTTTCTGTGCATCCCCTGGAAAAGAACACTTTGATTTGAACGCAAGAATCTGAAAGACTCAGATCAAAAGGCAGACATTTAAGGATGCAACTAATCTTCAGTACCTCTAACTTGATTTTGTTGATCTGTTATTTTAATTGTAAAACCATACCAGTTTGTTACTAATCTCACATATAACGGAAATAGAAATCCTTTCATGGAGACTTAAAAGCAAAAAGCCTTGCTTGAGCAATTCCATTGGTAAAAATTGAAATGTTATGTCATTAAAAAGGCTTACTGTACAGTGGCTTGTCATTGTGTGAATCCTGTCAACGTCGTTACAGTCATTTTCACAGTTTCTGCTAAATTAGGTGCTAGGTTCAATAACAATTAATATGCTTATATATAATCACTCAGTTGGGTATAGAGATCTGTCTTACCCAAGAAGGAAATAAAGGAAGGGGATAAGAGATATGGGGGAGAGGTAATAAAAGGGAGGGTGGATTAAGGGAGGCAGCGGGCAGAAGCAAAACAGACTTTTGAGGAGGGACAGGATAAAAAGAATGCTAAGCGGGAGAAAATAAGATGGAGGGAAATCATAACAGTGAATGTGAATGGGATGAACGCACCCATGAGACAGAAGCAGATGGCAGAATGGATTAGAAACCACAATCCAACAACACGTTGTCTGCAAGGGACAGAAAAACAGCTAAAGGACTGCAAGCAGAGTGTTCTGCTTCAGCTGAAGTAAAGTCAAGGGTAGCGACCATGATCTCAGACAAAGCAAAAGCAAAAATAGACACGATTAAAAGAGATCATCGGAGGAAGTGCATGTTCCTAGACGCTGAAGTGACATGAAAAAAATTTACATCGTTTCTCTGATAAAGGCCTCGTTTCTCAAATATATGGAGAACTGAGTCACATTCGTGAAAATAACTATTCCCCAATTGGTAAATGGTCAAAAGATATGAATGGGCAGTTTGCTAAAGAAAAAAGCTATCATCATGAGAAAATGTTCTAAATCACTATTTATTACAGAAAGGCAAATCAAGACAACTGAGGTGCCACCTCACCTATCAGAAATGTCACACTGGAAGGGATTTTAACAAAACCTGCTGGGCAAATTGAAAAAGAGTATGGCAAAAACTAGACATAGACCAAAATCTCACACCGCATACCAAAATAAAGTCAAAATGGGTTCATGATTTAGATGTAAAGGCTGATACTGTAAGCAAACTGGGAGAGCAAGGAATAGTTTACCTATCAGATTTATGGAGAATAGAAGAATTCATGACCAAACAGGAGACAGAGAAGATTAAGAAAGGCACAATGGATGACTTTGATTACATTAAATTGAAAAGTTTTTGCACAAACAAAGCCAATGCAACCAAGATTAGAAGGAAAGTAGAAAATTGGGAAAGAATTTTTACAACCAGTGTTTCTGATAAGGGCCTCATTTCTAAAATATGTAGAGAATTAAGTCAAATTTATAAGAATACAAGTCATTCTCCAACTGATAAATGGTCAAAAGCTATGAACAGGCAGTTCTCAGATGAAAAAATTAAAACCATCTATAGTCATGAAAAAATGCTCTAAATCACTATTGATTAGAGAAATGCAAATCAAAACAACGCTGAGGTACCACATCACACCTATCAGATTGGCCAAGATGACAAAACAAGAAAATGATACATGTTGGAGAAGGTATGGGAAAATTGGAACACTGATGCATTGTTGGTGAAATTGTTGGTTGGAGAACACTTTGGAACTATGCCCAAAGGGCTATAAAAATGTGCATACCCTTTGACCCAGCAATAGCACTTCTAGGGCTGTATCCCAAAGAGATCATACAAATGGGTAAAAGACCCACATGTACAAAAATATTTATAGCAGCTCTTTTTGTGGTGGCAAAAAATTGGAAATTGAGGAGATGCCCATCAATTGGGGAATGGCTGAACAAGCTGTGGTATATAAATGTAATGGAATACTATTGTGCTATAAGAAATGATGAGCATGCAGACTTCAGAAAAACCTGGAAAGACTTGTTTGGACTGATTGTGAGTGAAGTGAGCAGAACCAGGAAAACACTGTACACAGTAACAGCCACTTTGGGCGATGACTAATATTGATAGACTTAACCCTTCTCAGCAATACAAGGATCTAAGACATCTCCAAAGGCCTCATGATGGAACATGCTATCCACAAAGAAGAAAGAACTATGGAGTTTGAATGCAGATCGAAGCAGACTATTTGCTCTTTTTTTCTTCTGTTGTGTTTTGTTTCCTCTTTCTGGTGCTTCCTCCTATTGGTTCTAATTCTTCCTTACAACATGACTAATGTGAAAATATGTTTATAGGAATGTATATGTATAGCTTATAACAGATTGTGTGCCATCTTGGGGAGGAAGGGAGGAGAAAAAATTAAAACTCAAAAGGTTATGGAAGTGATTGTTGATAAATCAAAATAAATTAATTAACAAAAAATTAGAATGGAAAAAAAGAGAAGGACCTATATGTACAAAAAACCAGCTCTATTTGTGGTGGCAAAGAATTGGAAATCAAGGGGATGCTCAATTGGAGAATGAGTGAACAAGTTGTGGCCCGTAATTGTGATGGAGTGCTATTGTGCTACAAGAAATGGCAAGGGGGGTGTTTTCAGAAAAAACATGGCAAGACTACATGAAGTGATGCCAAGCAAAGTGAGAAGATCCAAAAGATCTTTGTACACGCTAATAGCGATGTCGTAATAATGATCAACCATGAAAGACCTGGCTACTCCAATCAAGACAATGATCAAAGATCATTCCAAAGGACTCCTGATGAATAAAAGAACTGATGAACTCTGAGTGCAAATTGAAGTATAATTTTCTCTTTTTTTTAGTAATATGGATAATATGAACATATGTTTTACGTGATTTCACAAGTAAAATTAATATAATTTTGCTCAACTCAGCGGGTGGAGAGGGGGGGGAGAGGGAGAGAATTTGGAACTCAATTTAAATTAAAAAAATGTTCAAAATAATTTTTTAAATCAATATACTATAAGCTTCTCAAGGGCAGGAACTATTTTCACAGAATCCCAGAACTAGAATGACTTAAGCATCCTAGATCTAGAACAAAGAACCAGAAACTACTTAGCCCAACCCCTTCGTTTTACAAGTGAGGACACCGAGGCTTAGGGAAGTTAAGTGAGTTGCCCGTGGTTATGTAGGTAGTCACAATAGGACTGTGACCTTGGGTCTTCTAGTTCAAGAGCTCTTGCCATGGCACCACACTTCCTCCTTTAGAAGCTGCCTAGTTCAACCTGCCTCCACACAAGAAGCTAAATAGCATACCCAACAGGTTCTCGTGCAGCCTTTGCTTCCTGGCCCGCTGTGGGAGGGAGCCCAGCACCTCCTAAGGCTGTCCACTCCACTTTTAGATTGCTAGAATTCTTAGCAGGTTTTTAACTATAGCAAACCTAAAGTTGCTTCTTTGCGATCTCCACCCGTTACTCCTACCCTTTGGGGCCAGGCAGAACAATTCTTCCATGCAACAGCAAGTCAGACCCTTAATGACCGTTACCCTGTGCCCATTGTCCTTCAGGCCAAACATCCCCAGTTCCTGAAGATCTAGTTCTACGGTGTTCTAGAGATCCTTCATCAGCCTGGTTCCATTTTTGCCTTTGTATTTCAAGTAGCCATCACAGTACAGTGTAGTAGGTGTTTATTGATTTGAATGGAAGCCAACATTGGGAAGGCAAGTTTGGTGAGATTCCACTGGTTGTAGTGAATAGAGCACTTGGAAGTGACTTGAAAGTAAGGAGATGAAGTCAGTCACCACCTTGCCATATACCAGGTGCCCTCCAGACTGAGCTTCCTTTTTCTCTTGGCCAGCTGAAAAACTTTGTGGATTTTTAGTCTGAAAGAGAGAAGGTTTGTGAGGGGGTGTAATAGAGTGATTTTCAAGTCTTTGAAGGCTCTCATTCCCCATCAGCTTTCCTCTTCCCCTTCTGTCAAAGGATGAGTGAAGTAGAATATAGATAAAGATAGATATAGAAACACACACACACACACACACACACCAATAGCCATTACCCAATAGATAAATGCTCAAAGGATATGAACAAATATAATTGCAAAGTATTAACAACCACACAAAAGAAGGCTATATTCTTAGTAAGAGAAATAAAATTCAAAACAACCCGGGAGTTTCACCTCATACTTGTAAATTGGCAAAGATAACAAAAGATGACAAAAGTCAATGTCAGAGGGTTTGTAGAAAGACAAGCATACTGATGTATTTTGGGGGGAGCTATGTATTGGTACAACCATATTGAAAAGAAATTTTTAATTATGCATATAAATTGACCAAAATGATTCCATTGCTGGGCTTATACTCCAAAGAAACCATTGATGAGAAGTCCCCATATACACCAAAATATTTACTGTAGTACTTTTTGTGATAGAAAAGAATTGAAAATAAGGATGCCCCTTGATTGGGGAATGGCTAAACAAATTTTAGTACATGAATGTAATGGAAGATTATTGTGCTGTAAGAAGTGATGAATGGTGAATACAGAAAAGCAGGGGAAGTTCTACATGAACTGATGCAGAGGGAAGTCATCACAGCCAAGAAAACAGCATAGACAAATAAAGACACTGACTACAAAAGTGTCAATAGAAAAAACAACCACACATCAAAAAAATAAAAAGTGAATGTTGCAAAAGTATAAAGAATAAATGCTCTAAACCACTATTGATTAGAGAAATGCAAAATTTAAAAAACCTCTGAGGTACCTGCCACCTCACAGCTATCAGACTGGCTAATATGACAAAACAGGACAATGATAAATGTTGGAGAAAATGGGGGGAAATTGGGACACTAATGCACTGTCAGTGGAGTTGTGAACTGATCCAACCATTCTGGAGGGCAATTTGGAACTATGCCCAAAGGGCTGTAAAACTGTGCATCCCCTTTGATCCAGCAATACCACTTCTGGGTCTGTATCCCAAAGTGATTTTTTAAAAAGGGAAAAGGGCCTATTTGTAAAAAAAAAAAAAAAAAAATTACAGCAGCTCTTTTTGTGGTAACTGAGAAGTGGAGATTGAGGAGATGGTGATCAACTGGGGAATGGCTGAACGAGTTGTGGTATATGATTGTAATGGAATATTATTGTGCTGTAAGAAGTAACAAGCAGGTTGACTTCAGAAAAACCTGGAAAGACTTACTTGAACTGATGCGTAGTGAAGTGAGCAGAACCAGGAGAAGGTCGTACACAGTAACAGTAATATTGTACCATGAAGAACTGTGAATGACTTCACTA